TGCATGCCTGCACACAGGTGTACTCACACATACACACGTGTACAGTGCATGCCTGCACACGGGTGTACTCACACATATACACGTCCACTGCATGCCTGCACACAATATACTCATGCATACACACATGCACACATATCCATTGCATCCCTGCACACGGGTATACACACATGTACACATGTCCACTGCATGCCTGCACACGGGTGTACTCACACCTGTACACATGCACACATGTCCAGTGCATGCCTGCACACAGGTGTACTCACACATGCGCACATGCACACATGTCCCCTGCATGCCTGCACACGGGTGTACTCACACATGCACACATGTCCACTGCATGCCTGCACACAAGTATAATCACACATGTCCACTGCATGCCTGCACATGGGTGTACTCACACATGCACACGTGTTCACTGCATGCCTGCACATGGGTGTACGTACACATGCATACATGCACGCATGTCCACTGCATGCCTGCGCGTGGGTGTACTCACACATGCACACATGTCCACTGCATGCCTGCACATGGGGGTATGATGACATGCACACATGCACTGGAAGAGGCTGAGTCCACATCCCTCTCCTTGTGGGTGATGTCTTTAGACTGACCAATCATAAGCGAGAAGATGCTTCTCCCCCACTCAGGTTCGCAGCTTGCCCACTGTATGCTCAGTGGAGGACTCTAGCATGTCTTTTGGGGGGCCATCTTCCAGACTACAGCTGTGGTGGGAAGTAATGAGATGGCCCAGGCATGAGTGGCCTTTGGGGCCACAGCTTGGGCTCCTTCCCTGCAGGGCCGAGGAATCAGGAGCCCGTTGTCCCCACAGGACCCATTCGATGCCGCGGGGTACTATCAGCTGGCACTGGCCGCAGCCGTGGACCTGGGCAACAAGAAGGCGCAGCTCAAGATCTACACACGCCTGGCCACCCTGTACCACAATTTCCTGGCCGACCGCGAGAAGTCGCTTTTCTTCTACCAGAAGGCCCGCACCTTCGCCTCTGAGCTCAACGTCCGCAGGGTCAACCTGGCCCCCGACCGCTTCTATCATCGTGCGCCCTGGCTGGCCCCCCAGCTCCCGCCCTGAGGGCTCCTTGCCATGGTGACTCTTTCCCCATCTTCCCCAGGAGGGGACGCTGTGTACAGGGTCCCATCTCTCCTGGTGTCTGCGTGGCTCATTTTCTGGGAAACTGAGGCACCAGACAGTCTAGTAGCAATAAACACTTCCTTGAAGCCAAGGGCCATGTCTGCATTGTCTCCGGCCCTGCTCAGTGGACCAAGGGACCACGCTCCTCCCTCTAGCGTCTCACGGGTCTGCATGAATGCCTCCCTCCCTAGGCACAGAGGACAAAGTCTGGGAAATGTCAGATCCAGCCCAGGCCCAGCCAGCTGCTCACAGGTGACCTGGGGCTGTGTCTCGCCTGCAGCCTTGGCTCCCCTGCCCGTCAGAGGGGACCGGGCTGTGAGAGGCCATGGCACCATTCTTGACACGGAGTTCTAGGCCTCATGAGTTTGATTCTGCCCTTATTCCCATTTAGGTACTGAGAGGTTGTGGCCAGCACCTGCAGTCATTCAGCACATATGGACCCTGCCTTGTCCCTCCATCCTGGACTACCCTCGTCCCACCCCATCTCCTAGGAGTCCAGACTCCCCTCTCCAGAATCTCTTAGCCTTGGGGGCTCCCCACTCTGCAAGCAGGGAAACCAAGGCTCGGGGTGGTTGTGTGAACCCAGGGGAGCCCCCCACCTTGTGCCATTCCACATCCCTCTTTTGAAGTTCTGTTTATGAACTCTTTCTTGTGAGATGGGTGGACATTGATTTCCATTCCACAGTTCACACACCCTGTGCTTTGTGGCTGGTTTAAGTCCCCTCTCCCTGCGGGTGTCTCCCGTTTCCATCCTCCCTCCCGTCTCTCCCTGCCTCTGCACTTCCTCTCTGAACTAGTACTTCTTATCTCCTCTGTTGACTGTGTTCCCCTGGTGTTACCGTCAGGGGACCAGTGCGTCTGAGAGGCTGAGGATGGTGCAGGACAGGACAGGGTTCAGTCTGTTGTCCACAGGATCGCTGTATGCTGTGTGATGGTCCCTAACAGAAACATTGTTTGACTAGAAGTTGAGTCATGGGGCCCAGAGTCCCCTCCTGGGGGAGACGAGGTCATCTGAGTTCCAGGCTTGGAGGATGACAGTCCTGCGGGGGCCTAGCCCATCAGGGTCTCATCTTTCTTATGATTTTCAGTGTTTCCTACACTTGTCTCCCACTCTCAGGATCCTTGATTATGTGTGCAACTGTGACGCTCACACGTGGGTATGCACAAGGTGACACAGCCAACCGGCCATTGTAGAGTGGACAGCTGGACACCTCTCAGCCATACACCCAGCACATCTGTCAGCTCCAACACTCTCCCACCCACCCCCGAGGAGCCCCACAACCCCTCACCTACCCCCTCCCAAGCCCCAAGCCTTAGGATCAGGACCCCGGAGAAGGCCTGGTGTCCTGTCCCCAGCTGGCAGCCTGGGTCAGTTCTCCACCTTTGGAGAGGTCTGAGTCTGACAGCCACCATCTTTGTCCTCCACTGGTCCTGGGATCTGGGGGACTCCCTATCCCCAAAGCTCCCCCACCTCCGCCCAGCACACAGGCAGCCTACAGGCCTGCCCACCTCTCCCACCAGGGGGCAGCAGAGAGCAGCGCTGGACGGCTGCCCTCAGAGTGACCGCAGTCCTTGGTCACTAGGACTGGGTTCAGAGCATGGAGAGGAGGGGTGCTGCAGTGACAGTGCCAGGACACAGCTGGCCTGTGGTCACCAGCATCTTGCCCCCAACATGTCCAGGCCACCTGCCTGGAGTGACCGGGCCAGCCAGGGCTGCTCTTCACCCTGGGGATTCTGCCATGGTCAGTGACCTCAGCCAAGGCCTGGGGACCATCCTGGTGATCCCTTGATTGCTGCCTGCTGTGTCCTGACATCCTGACCTGAGACCTGCCCCCTGACCTGTCCCCCAGGTCTGTTAGAGGGCACTGTGCCCGCAGGATTCTCAGGGTGGACATTTGAGAAGCAGGTGGCCAGCCCTTCCGTCTGCAGCATCTCTGGGTGGCACTGGACCACCAACCTGTCTGCCGCAGCAGAACACCAGGTCTCCTGCAGGTGGGGTGGCCCTGAGTGATCTGCACCCCCTTCAAGGCTGAGCTAAGGCCTCAAGTCCCTACAGGTGGACCCTGCCTGAGGGGCCCCAGCCAGTGACATGCCCACAGCCCCTCCTCCAGCCTCAGCTCACCCAGCCCCCACCCCACTTTCCACAAGTCAGAACCAGAATCCAGGCCCGGACTTTGCTTCCTCACCAGGAATCAGTGGAAGAGGGAGTGTGGGGTACAGGCAGTGGGACCCCCGACCCTAGTCCATGTCCAGTCAGCTATCCCAAGACAACTGGCACTGGAGTCCTTGTCCACCAATCCAGGCTCATTCTTTCCCCTGCGGCTGGGCACCAGGGGGTCTATGGGTCTGTGGGCATCGCGCCCCCAGGAGTCTGACCACAGTGTATCCCTCCCAACTGAACTCACTGTCTCCTCGCCCTGACCAGGCCTGAAGCCACAAATCCAACCTCCTTGGCTCTGAGCTGACCAGAATTCCAGAGCAAGGGGGAGTTTTCTCCAGGAAGCAGGGGTCCCCCATGGACAGCTGGGGTGTGTCCACTGTCTCAGCCCGTCTGCAGGGCGAGATGTCCTCTTTGGGGGTTGTGAAGATGGTATCTGGGGGAGAGCAGGGCTGGGCTTCTGAGAAGACCGCGGGAGGAGCTGGCTCAGGAGGTGATGCATCATGGGGCTGCAGTGGGCAGATTTCCAGAAACTTCTCTCTGCACTCCATAGTGATGGGGTCTAGGTCCCAGGCCTGGACAGCCTGGAGCCCCACCCCATCAGTGGATACATGGGGACATCTGAGCCCCTGCCCTCCCGCCTGGGGCCCCATCGCATCAGTGGACATGTAAGGACCTCTGTGTCCCCTGCCCTCCCGCCTGGGGCCCCATCCCATCAGTGGACATGTAAGGACCTCTGTGTCCCCTGCCCTCCTGCCTGAAGCCCCATCCCATCAGTGGACAAGTGGGGGCCTCTGAGCCCCCTGCCCTCCCTGTGGCATCTGCCCCCTGCCGTGGAGCTGATTCTGACTCGAAGCAGCCCTCCGTGGGGCCCTGAGACTTACATCTTCGTGGAAGGAGACCCTCTCATTTTTCTCCTGCAGGTTGGCTGGAGGATTTGAACTGCAGACTTAACAGTTAACAGCAGCATATAGCTCACCATGCCACCCGGGTCCTCTCTCGTCCGCCCCCACCACTCCTCTGCGCCTCTGGGCCGCATCCATCAGGAAAAACGGGTTTCTTGCCTTCTGGGAGCAGGGGATTACCCACCGATGCCTCACACACAGCCCACTACAGCGTGAGCCAGCTCTGCTGCCTGCTGGGGCTGCCCCTCCCAGAAAGAACACGTGTCCATCAGAGAGACCCCGGGGGTGAGGAGCGCTGTGCCTGTCCCTCCACCATGCAAACACCTCGCACAGTGTTGACTGAACACCTGCCGAGTAAAACCTACCCGGAGCTGACCCCAAGCAGATTTTTAGACGCTGTAAATTACATGATTTCGCAAAACGTATGCTTGGACCAGGAGGCAGTCCTCAGAATGGAGCAGGGAAACACTGCATGGTTCAAAATCAGGAAAGTGGTGTGTCAGGCATGCATCCTCTCTCCATATCTTTTCAATCTATACACTGAACAAATCATTTGGGAGGCAGGGCTTTAAGAAGAAGAATGTGGCATCAGGATTAAAGGAAGACTCTTCAACAACCTACATTATGCAGATGACACAACCCTGCTTGCTAAAACTGAGGAGGACCTGAAGTACTTGCTGCAGAAGGTCAAGGTCTGTAGTCTTCAATATGGATTGAGGCTCAATATTCAGAAACAAAAACTCTCACCACAGGCCACCTGACAGCACCATGACCAGATGCAGAAGAGATTGAACAATTACAGCTTGCTCAGCTCCACAATCAACACTCTTAATACCAGCAGTCAGGGAATCAAAAGACAAATTACACTGGGAAAATCTTTTGGCAGAGACTTCTCCAGAGTGCTGAAAAACAATGATGTCATTCTAGAGACTAAGGTGCGTCTAATCCAGTCCATGGTCTTCACAATTGCTTGATATGCATCAGAGAGCTGGACAATGACTAAGGATGACAGAAAACGAATCAATGCCTTTGAATTGTGGTGCTGGAGTAGAGTCTTGAACATACCATGACTGCCACAAAAACAAACAGGTCTGTCTTGAAGAGGGTGAAATCAAGTTTCTCTTTGGAAGCTAGGGGTTTGAAGCTCTGTCTCATACTTCGGGCATGTGGCCAGGATGAAGAGGAACATCATGCTTGAAAGGGTGGAGGGACAGTGTGGGAGAGGAAGACCCTGGATGAGATGGATTGATACAGTGACTGGGGCAATGGGGGTTGGCATGTAGGAATTAGTGAAACTGGCTCAGAACAGGACAGGGTTCAGAGCTGCTGTACACAGGTTCGCTATGAGTTGCAGGTGACTCGATGGCACATAACAACAACAATAATTTGCTTGGGAGGAGAATGTCCATCTGTGTCCTGCAGAGCAGCTGTGGGTTCGAACCACCTCTCTAGGCTCTCAGACCTGTGCCATCTCGGAAGAAGTGCAGCCACAATGATGTTCAGCAGCATGGACATCAAGCCTTCCTCGTCCTCGGACTCGCTGGCAGGAGGGTCTGGGGAAGGACATCATGTTCGGAGAGGTGGAAGGTCACTGTTCCTCCCTGAGGTTGATCGGCGTGGACTTGAGCACGGTGGAGATGCTGAGGGTGATGTGGGCTCAGGGGGGCCTTTCTTCTGTCTGTAGGTAAAGTCACTGTGAATCAGATCAGACGCTGTCACCTCACTGCAGCTGGGTGCCAGATGCCACACGAGATGCTGGGGACACAGACCTTACAGGGTGAGTCAGATGGATAAGGAATCCTCTAGCAGATGAGGGGGCAGCTAGAGACAATGCTGGTCCAGGTAGGAAAAGGACCGTAGGACCGAGGGAGAGAAGCCAAGGCGGCTGAGGAAGGCGCAGGGAGGGCCAGCTCATACAACCCTCCCACCGTCCTCTGGGACCATCTTCTGTCCTCTCCCTGTCAGGGGTAGCTGGGGGACTAGGTTTCAGCCCCTTAGACAGAAGCAGAGGTCATCTGGGGCTCCTGGTGAAGGAGCAGATGCCACTGATGCACTATCTACCCCTTTCTCCTGCCTTGGACTTGGGTGTGATGCCTGGAGCAGGAGCAATCACTTTGTGACCTTGAGGTGAAGGCCAGAAGACCTGCCATGAATCCACTGCTTTCCTCACTGAGCCTTGTCTTTCAGAGCCGGCCCACTTGGTGGTCAGCGTCCTATCAAATGTCCCGCCAACCAGTCAGACAAAGTCAAGAGATCACGGAGACAGCAGTGAAACATCCGCAGATGACGGGACTGTTTACACGGAAGCCCCAGGAGAGTCTGAGGCAGTGCTTAGAATGAGCGAGAACTCAGGTTTGCTGGGAAAAGTAGGGACAGAAGTCACCTCTGGTCCTGCAGAGCCAGGAAATGCAATTGTAATCAGCATGCTAGGTAGGACATCAGGAAAACCAACAAGCTGCCTGTGAATAAATGCAACGAGGGCTTCCTGGGCTCAGGGACAGGAAAATCGATTCACTGAGTTCCTCCAAGAGGAATCTAGGACTCCGTGGCAATCCCATGCAAACTCCAGGAGGCTTTTTAAAACTCCAGCAGGAAAAAAACAAAACAAAACAAAAAACAAACAAACAAACAAAAAACCAACAACAAAACAAAACAAAAACTTCAGCAGGACTTCAGGCATTTAACCTGAAGATGTACTTCTGCAGGGCAGTGAAAGCCCCACGGACATAGCAGGCTGCCCACCACCGACCGTGAGGGTGGCCCAGGGCTGGGCGGGTCTGTGTTCTCGGGCACAATGAATGACTATGAGCCCAGAGGACAGCTGACCACTACTATGCATAAAATGACCATCCTGTTCACGTCTTCAACATAGATTGCATCCCAACATCAAGAAAACAAAAATCCTTACCTCTGGACTGACAGGCAACATCATGATAGATGAAGTGAAAATGGAAACTGTCAATGATTTCATCTTGGTCCATAATCAACACCCTCGACACCAGCAGTCAAAGTCCACAGTCAGGGACTTCTCCAAAGTACTGAGGAGCAATGGTTTCAGTTTGAAGACTAAGGAGTGCCTGATCTTGGGGCCATGGTCTTCAGTCACTTGCTATGTTAATTCGACAGCTGGACAGTGAATAAGGATGACAGAAGAATAATGTCAAATAACAAGCAGGTATGCCTTAGAAAACGTGCCTCCAAAGTGCTCCTTGAAGGCCAGGATGACAAAGCTCACCTCACACATTTTGGGTATGTTGTTGTTGTTGTTGTTGTTGTTGTTGTTGTTGTTGTTTAAGTGCCATCAAGTTGCAGGCGACTCATAGCGACCCTATGAAGGAGAGTCTTCGACCCTTGGGTGCCTTTCATCTTCTCTCCAGGTTCTTAAGGTTTCCGGAGGCAAGCTATTATGGAAGTGGATGCCACTCCTGCTTCCCAGGGCATGTTATTAGGAGAGGCTATTCCTTGGAGAGGGACATCATGTTTGGAAAGGTGTAAAGTCAGCGAAAGAGAGGAAGACCTTCAACAAGATGGGCTGACATGGTGACTGCAGCAATTGGCTCAAGTGTGTCAGAGACGATGAGGATGTCACAGGACAGGGCTCAGGTGTGCCAGAGTCTATGAGGATGTCACAGGACAGGGCTCAGGTGTGCCAGAGTCTATGAGGATGTCACAGGACAGGGCTCAGGTGTGCCAGAGTCTATGAGGATGTCACAGGACAGGACAGGGTTCCAGTCTGTTGTTCGTAGTCACTATGAGTCGTACTTGACTCAACGGCACCCAATGACAACATTCGTGTCACTTCTCCTTAGGCTACTTATGTAATAAACACCTTATCCAAGCGCTTGGCATTTCCCTTCTTTGTCTTTTCAATGCAGCACCCCCCCCCGCCCCATCTTTCCCTTTTGTACCATCTGTGTTCTGCTTGGGAAAGTCTTTTCCTAAAAGCTAAAAATTTTTTTTTTCATACACATATTTTAAGTGCACTTCAGGCCTGCTGGTTGCAACCCCGTTCAGCACTCAGCCAACCTCACAGAGGTGTCCCCCTCCCCCTGAGGCAGAGTCCACCCCCCACCCCATGGTTTAAAATTGAGAGGGAAATGTGTCAAGGTTGCATTATCTCTCCATATCTATTTAATCTGTATGGTAAGCAAATTATCTGAGAAGCTGGACTCTATGAAGAGGAGTGTGGCATCAGGATTGGAGGGAGACTCATCAATAACCTGCATTATGCAGATGACACAACCTTGCTTGCTGAAAGTGAGGAAAACCGAAGCCCTTGTGACAGAAGATCAAGGAATGCAGCCTTCAGGAAAGATTGCATCTCAATGCCAAGAAAAGAAAGATCTTCACCACTGGACCAATAGGCAGCATCATGATAGATGGAGAGGAGATTGAAACTGTCAACAGCGTCATCTTGCTTGGATCCACAATTAATACCCTTGGTACCAGCAGTCAGGAAATAAGGAGACACAATGCACTGGCAAAATCTTCAGTTAGAGAACTCTTCATTATAGAGGAGTAATGATATCATTTTGAGGACTGATTCATCCACTTGATTCATGCCAGTTTTTCTCATCAATGAATAAGGATAGCCAGGAAATAATTGATGCCTTTGAGCTGTGGTGTTGGAGAAGAACATCCCCTGAACAGCCAAAAGAACAGGTATGTCTTGGAGAGGGTGCAGCCAGAGTGCTCTTTGGAGTCAAGAATGATATGTCACATACTTCAGGCATGCTGCTAGGAGGGACTGTTCCTTGGAGAAGGACAAGATGCTAGAAAAGGTGGAGAGTTGGTGAAGGAGAGGAAGACCCTAAACCAGGTGGATTGACACGATGACTGGTGCAATGGACTGTTGTGTGTCAGGAAGTGTGAGGACAGCACAGGATAGGACAGCGTTCAGATCTGTTGTTCACAGGGTCACTATCAGTCATACTTGACACGATGGCACCTAACAACAACAACAACAACAATGAGTTAACTCAATGCACCTAACAACAACTCAGAAATATAATTACTAC